AAATCCCACGCATGCGCGATACATTCAAAAATACTTTTTCACCGTGGAAGGGAGTTTAACAGTCCTGCTGTACCTCCGTTTTCCCCTCATAGTCAACAACATTTAACAGCGCTCACAAAACATAGAACCTGAATTCCACACACACACAAACATAATTTAAGAGGCTTTATCCCATCGCAGTGGACCTCTACGGTCACATGTTAGTATGCAGCATATTAGCATTTAGCATTAGCATTAGCCTGTATGCACCATGTAGCATAAAAACAATGCACCCGACATTGCGTCTTTAATTACTTTTCTTTGTTCCTTATAACTTTAGGCTGCCGTGAGTATGGATATTTTATGAGAGGCTACTCCAGACAAATGCTTCGTCAACCACCAGCTGAGATGTAACATCAATAGAATTTATATTCCAAAACTCGTGTCCCCAGAACACACCTGAAACCCCTAACGCGTTACCAGGATTTCATGGCCCACCCTATGGTCGCCTCGTTTGTTCCGAGGGCTTATCAAATCCTGCAATGTCCTAACTTGTATACATATCCTGGCCCCCGATTGTTCTTGACTTCCTATTAAAGCAACACATATCTATAGCCAATTTATAGGCTCTCCCCCCTTTTGCACTGTTTACCAGTGCAAAAAGAAATTTATAATGATTTGCCAGACCCCTAGTACTCAGCAATAACGCAACATAACGCACATTTGTTCTAACGGTACATTTCTCCAGTGTACACTCAAATAGTATCCAAACTAACAAACTTCCAAAGCTGTGAGAAAAAACTCACCCTTGTTTGGCCATGACTTCAGAACGAGTTAGCTTGGCGGCTGAATGAATGGAACAAAGAAGTAAATGCAGTCCTTCCCTTTTCGTGACGCCATTTGTGGTATCGAGTAAATGTTGCTAGTCATTGCTGATAAACAAAGGAGTCCGCTCATACTGAACCTTGATCATACGTTTATTCATATCACAAGCTTTCAGCATGAGTTACAGGTGACATGCCCACCCGGAGAGCGACGCCTCAGATTGCAATGGCCGCTCTGCTTTCTTCTTCGTCTAGCCCATACTTATAAACAATGTGAAAATATGGGTTGCTCCCTCTGTGGTCCAATCACCGGTCTCCCCTGGGGCGTCACCCCACAAATGGCTACTTTTGAACTAACATAAACAACATTCTTTCAGTTCCCCTTAAAACCATTAACAAAGACATAATCCTAATACACGACATCCTCCTCCCAGAGTGCAAAGAAACTTGGCGTGACCCTGGACAACACCCTGTCGTTCTCCGCTAACATCAAAGCGGTGACCCGATCCTGTAGGTTCATGCTCTACAACATTCGCAGAGTACGACCCTATTTTACACAGGAAGCGGCACAGGTCCTAATCCAGGCACTTGTCATCTCCCGTCTGGATTACTGCAACTCGCCGTTGGCTGGGCTCCCTGCCTTTGCCATTAAACCCCTACAACTCATCCAGAACGCTGCAGCCCGTCTGGTGTTCAACCTTCCCAAGTTCTCTCACGTCACCCCGCTCCTCCACACACTCCACTGGCTTCCAGTTGAAGCCTGCATCTGCTACAAGACCATGGTGCTTGCCTACGGAGCTGTGAGGGGAACGGCACCTCCGTACCATCAGGCTCTGATCAGTCCCTACACCCAAACGAGGGCATTGCGTTCATCCACCTCTGGCCTGCTGGCCCCCCTTCCTCTGTGGAAGCACAGTTCCCGCTCAGCCCAGTCAAAACTGTTCGCTGCTCTGGCACCCAATGGTGGAACAAGCTCCCTCACGACGCCAGGACAGCGGAGTCACTCACCACCTTCCGGAGACACTTGAAACCCCACCTCTTTAAGGAATACCTGGGATAGGATAAAAGTAATCCTTCTACCCTCCCCTTACCCCACCCCTCCAAAAAAAAAAGGAAAAAAAAGAAAATAATTGTTTTAAATATATTGTAAAGTGGTTGTCCCACTGGCTATCATAAGGTGAATGCACCAATTTGTAAGTCGCTCTGGATAAGAGCGTCTGCTAAATGACGAAAATGTAAATGTGTATGTAATGAAGGGGAGGAGACAGGTTAAAGAATGATTTTTAAGCCTTGAGACAATTGACAAATGGATTGTGTATGTGTGCCATTCAGAGGGTGAATGGGCAAGACAAAATATTTAAGTGCCTTTGAACGGGGTATGGTAGTAGGTGCCAGGCGCACCGGTTTGAGTGTCAAAAACTGCAATGCTGCTGGGTTTTTCACGCTCAACAATTCCCTGTGTGTATCAAGAATGGTCCACCACCCAAAGGACATCCAGCCAACTTGACACAACTATGGGAAGCATTGGAGTCAACATGGGCCAGCATCCCTGTGGAACACTTCATACCTTGTAGAGTCCATGCCCCGATGAATTGAGACTGTTCTGAGGGCAAAAGGGGATGCAACTCAATATTACAAAGGTGTTCCTAATGTTTTATACATTCAGTGGATATCAGCAATCAACACTTCATAATGGTGTAGGTTACATGTTCAAGTGCATTTAATTCATTCACATGGCAGAATACAATTGAACTCTGAATTGCGTAATGAATAAAATAAAAAATAAAAAATATAAAGAATACATGAAACATACATTTAGGTAACGGTGGTTGTTTCAGTTGTTTGGAGTTGCTGTGGCGTTTTAATAGGGGAATCATAAGGAATGGATGATCTTTTGTATCGTTCAGTTCTTGCTCTGAAAGGCCAGAATTTGTGTGTGTGGGATGTTTCCCTTCCAGAGGTTGTGATGATTGATTGGTAGTGGTAAGAGGTTCCTCAGACTGGAGCAGATGGGAGTAGCGTGAACTGGCCCCTAAACACTGATCTTGAGTCAGTTTTGCATTTTCCTCACTAATTGTTAAGGTTAGGATTGGGAGAGGGGTATCTGATCCTATATCTGTATCTAAGAGAAACTTCACCCCGGAGTGAGATGATTAGCAAACTGGAGGCAGAGCCAAGTTCTTCTCTCAGTCAATGAGCTGAGGTTGAGGGATAAAAGTTCTACAAGTTAAGAATACCGTAACAGAGAGATGCATTTAGTCCCCTCAGAGGGGGAAGGGCTGACTAGTCCTTGGGCATTGTTCTTTGTGCTTTCCTTGTGTTCCTGGACCATTTGCCATGCAGCTCCAGGTGAATTAGGGCAGAGCCTACACATGTAAATATGTCACTACTGTGTTATAAACCTATGGCACTATCAAGTTATAAATAAGAGAGGAATTGCAGTTGGGAGTCTTATTAAATGCTTTATTAAAAAATAACGTGAACAATACCAAAAAGCAGGACTTTATTCTAATTTCATAGAGACTGAATGAAACGTGTGTTACTTCACTTTGTACCCATCTTATAAATATCACAAAAATGTGTCTGAACAGAATTATAATGCCTTGAGTAGCGCTTACTACAAAGTAGATACAAAACATCATTTCCTGAAAATGAAAAAACAAACATTTATTGCAATCAGAGTGTTTTTATTACAAGGCACAGATGTTTTGTAGGGTCTCAGTTTCTTCATCTTGTCCACACAGAGTCTTTATCCCCCATACCCAGACCTCATCTTCAAAGTGTTTGAATTATCATTCATTCATCTTTCACAAAATTGGCTGTGCAGTGCACACCACGTTACGTCAAGAAACAGTTTAAACATTACAGCATAGTTAGCCTCTAGTCAGCCTAAAACACGGAGACTGGCTTGCTATAGTTTCACTGAGAAGTACAAAGTATAGAGCGCCAGACCTAAGGCCTACATGTAATCTCAATGCAACATGGTGAAAAATCAAGCTAGTCCTGAAACTGACAGAGCTGAATGCAAGTAATCGTAATGGATATTTAATTTCAATCATCACCTCTTTTGTACACTAAATGGTTGTGAACATTAAAAGTTAATAAGACATTCTCTACGCAATATGTCTGAAGAGCTAGCCCTTATGTTTTCCAACAGTGCAGATATAATAAACCCCAAGACAGAAAAAAATATATTAAAAAAGTTAAATGGTGCTAGTCTGTTTAGTGCTATCACGCCAACTCCGGCACAAATAGCACAAACAGATCTGGGACCAGGCTAGAATAAACTCTGACAGTCCTGACAATAAAAAACAAACAAAAAAACATTGCTACAAAAACCAACTCACTATCTAATACAAATATGGAACAAGGAATAATGTTTATTTTTCAGTTTCTAGAACATAGCATAGTGTAAACAGACATAATACCACTGAATAATATATATTTGCGTGTAGAGCTCAGCATAACGATCTGCTTGAACCAACTCCCATTGAGTTGGATGTGCTTTATCCTAGCAACGGTGAATGACTGCACAATGTAAATGGTGAAATAAAGAACAGGTATAAAGATATAAAAATGTCTTCCAAGACAAATCTTAATAATATTCCAATCTTCTTCTCGCCATGGGGCTACTGCATGTTTAACTGAGACTGGTAATAGTACTCCTTTAATCTTACTGGATACGAAAAGCAAACCTCTAATATATATATATACATATGCCTGGGAAGTGTATACCCTGCACTTTTTACACAATTAGACAAAATAATTTCCCAGTAAGAATCATTCTAAACCATGTTATAGTTGCATTGGATAGTCCCTTCTTTTACATTGTACCAAAACTGTCACCGTTTACAGGCAGGTATGGGATTGACATCGACTGATAAATAGTGTATTCAGTATTAACTCACTCTTTTTACCCCAACCAGGCAGGGCTTTCAATCATAGTAGCTTGGAATTAGTATGTATGTGTCCGTCAAATCTATCGCTCAAAGGGTCTGGGTGTTTTCTTCTTCTTAACAAGCTGGGCCTTGAGCAGAGGAACATAATAACTTGTGTCCCAAATGGCAACCTACTGTATTCCCTATTTAGTGCACTACTTTTAACCAAAGACATGAGCCCTGGTCAAAAGTAGTTCCCTACATAGGGAATAGAGAGCCATTTGGGACACAGTTGAAAGGACAGTTGGCCTGTCTCTTCTTATTGGTACCAGGGGGTCTTTCGGATCCAGTGGAGGGTGAAGCCTGCATCCGTCCGGATCTTGATGGAGGCAGCCTCAGCCTCTCTTACCGTCTCCTTCACAGACTGCATCAGGTTCTGGGCATTGTGAACCAACATCTCTGTGGCCTGGGGGAGGGGGAAGGAAAGAAAAATGGTGGTCACATTTTACATGAAGTTGCTCTTATGTGTAATAACACTGTAATTACACTAGTAACAACATGCTATTTATATCAGTGTTTCCCCTATATTCATTTAGCAGCGGCGGCCCACCGCTGCAAAAAAATATGTAATTTTGTAAAATACATATATTTCTGCTGAGACGCGCTTTTAAATGGATAGTCGTTGGCTCAATGACTGGAAGTCTATGGGAACAGCTAGCATGTCATTGTGCTAAGTAGTAATTAACCCTCCCCCTCCCCCCCAACCTTGCCACCACTGCTGAAAGATTGTACATTTCATAGTACATTTCTAGTTGAAATAATATAATAACAGAAATCGCTCAACTCCATTACGATGTAATTTCAAACGCAAAAAGGTAACTTTGGTTGATATGTGTTATCCAGTTATCTCCAGTGTACTGACCTGCTCGGACTCCTCCTCGCTGATGTTGGTACGACCCAACATGGTGGCCTTGACTGTGGAGAGGATCTTGAGCTGTGTGCTAATGGTGGGGATCCGCTCACACACCTGGAATACAGAGAAGTTTATTTAAGTTTAAGTTCCGAGAAACCAGTGAGAGACACAGAAAACAGTGTAGTTTAATTCAAATGATCTACCCTAAATCAAATCACGAGGACAGGGTGGAAATTCAATTATCTTTAGTCCTACCACTCCTACATTAATATAATGTTGTCCTTTGTATGGTCTTGCCAGAGCAGCAGCTGCTACACAAGAAAAACCTGAAGAGAGCGGAGTCTGAAAATCCTTGCTTCCTCTGTTCTTGTTTGCTCAATTAATCCAATGAGCTTTGAGAAACAAGGACACATTGGCAGAATATTGGACCAGATGAAACCCTGATGAAGGCAGCATAGCTGTCGAAACGTTGGTATTTATTAATTTTATTGCATCGTAGCCATGAGAGTTAGCATTTTATTTTTTCTAAGAAGACTGGACCAGGGACCAGTCAGTCAACTGACCTGGAGCAGGTTGGTCCGGATGCGTTTGTCTGTGCACTGCTTGGCCACCTCCTTGGCCAGCCTCGTGACCTCATCTGAGGCCTTGGCGATGTCTTTGGCACACTGGATGAGGGCACGCTTGTTCCCACTGCCACCGCGCACCAGACGGGACATCTCAGCCATGAGCAAGGCCATTCTCTTGGCTGCACCGATGATGTCGTTACCCTGAAAGAGATTACAAAAAACAAGGCATTAAATTGGACGTATGACAACACAGTTGGGGTTGATTCCGTTTCCGGTGTAATTGTGCAGTATACATGTTTATGTGCATGTCACACTTCCTAGATGACACCGAATTAGGGCTAGTCTGAATCTGCTCTACTATTGCTTTCTGGTCACAGAGAAATTCTGTATTGGCAATAAACTAAACTTTGAACATGTAACTAACTGTATATGTGCTGTTATCTCACCTTGCTGGACCACTTGCGGGCCTCCTCGTGGAGCTGCCTGGCGGCCATCATCATGGGCTCGCTCACCATCTCTCCCACTTCCTGCTCTGGGAAGTCCTCGTCCTTCTCCTCTGGGGGAGGGGGTCTGGGGGGAGGAACCTCACCCTCTGGGAGAGGGGGTTTGGGTGGGGCGGGCTCGTCGCTGACCTGGCGTGTATTCAGATAGGTGAAACGTTCAGAATGTTGCAGATAGAAATGAATCCCTCTATTCTACATGGCAGATAATATGTTCTAAAAATATCTAGTTTTTATATGAACGTTCTGAAACCCCATTTGTACCCCACTGAACAAAACCCTGGTGTTGACAGTGCAGAATTGTGAAGTCTTTTGTGACAGATGCTGATGTGAAAAGAGCTTCATAAATAAATTTGACTGATTGACTTACGTGCAGCTGATGCAGATCAGGAGGAGGTGGTGGTGGGAAGTCTGGTTCCTGTGGCTGGAAGGCATCTCTCACCTTGGCAACGGCACCCAGGATCCTATAGCCTGAGTCCAGGAAGCCCTTCTGCAGACCTGGACACAACAGAGGAAGAAGGAGATGCATATAGGTAGTTAGTTAGGCCTTATAAACAGGAGATTAGACAAAGGCCCCAAAAGGTGCTGGTATGGCGGCAGTAACACATTGACAGGTCCCAAAACCATAACACCATCGACTGAACCTTAACTTTTGACAATCACAGATTCAGAAATTGACAGAATGAGGCTTTATATTTAGTATTAGGTCATGTTGGATAGCTGTACACGGGTAGCTATAACAGCAGGGTATACAGTATAATGATCAAATGCATCCTAAATGTCGGGAAACTGCCTTGGAACGTACTTGGATCTGTGATGTTCCCAGCCACAGCCTTGGCGTCCATCACCATGGGAGAGATGGTCCGGCTGAGCTCATCAGACGCAGCCTTCACTATCTCTCTGAACTTGGGATCCTCAGAGTTCTCCACCTAGGAAAGAAAGTGTATTCATGCGTTTCTATTTTTTGTTATGTAATTTTTGTTTTGTTTTTACTCCCCCAATTTCGTGATATCCAATTGGAGGTTACAGTCTTGTCCCATCGCTGCAACTCCCGTAAGGACTCGGGAGAGGCGAAGGTCGAGAGCCATGCGTCCTCTGAAACACGACCCTGCCAAGCCGCACTGCTTCTTGACACACTGCTCACTTAACACGGAAGCCAGCCGCACCAATGTGTCGGAGGAAACACCGTACAGCTTGCGACTGAAGTCAGCGTGCATGCGCCCGGCCCGCCACAAGGAGTCGCTAGAGCACGATGGGACAAGGATCCCGGCCGGCCAAACCCTCCCCTAACCCGGACGACGCTGGGCCAATTGTGCGCCGCCTCAGGGGTCTCCCGGTCGCGGCCGGCTGCGACACAGCCTGGGATTGAACCTGGGTCTGTAGTGACGCATCCTGCACTGCGATGCAGTGCCTTAGACTGCTGCGCCACTTGGGAGGCCATGCGTTGTTCATATCATCTAATTTAAACTGAACTGCAATTCAGTTGTCAGTATTGTAATCTGCTAAAGTGCACCATTGTGGCACGTGTTTGTATGCTTACGCATCTGTATTGCTTGCTCTTTGGGGTTTTAGGCTGGGTATCTGTAAATCACTTTGTGACAACTGCTGATGTAAAAAGGGCTTTATAAAATAAATGTGATTGATTGTATGTGTAAATAAAAATGATCAACACCTCTCGTTTCGCCACCAGGAGGATCCGGTTGGCCCGCCGGGCGATGCTGGTGGCCCCGGCCACTAACATCTGGGGCTGGTGGTTAGCCATGGCCACGCGACACTTATCCAGGTCTTTCTTAATGGCCTCCTCAGAGGCATTCAACAGAGACTTGGTGTCTATGGCCTCATCCACCAAACCTAGGAGACAGAGAAGACATCATTCTTAGTGCTTATAACGAAGTGACCACAACGCCCACTTTTTGTAATCAATGACAAATGACACAAGATGGTCTTGGCACTACCTGTCATTTTCTCCACGTTGTCAATCCACTGGTTCTTCATGGTCTCAAAGTGCTCGTAAGCAGCCTGGTTGCCTGGGTTTCTCAGCAGGATACGGGCAGCAGAGACCACCTAGAAGAGAATGTTCCAGCCGGGGAAAAGAGGTCAACTGACCAAGGCCAAATGAATCGTCCCTATGTCACTATGGCATAAGCACCACACAAATGTTGATGTTGCACAAAATACAAACACACACCACTGGTTCTCTGGACCCCCGCAAAGTCAGAGTTTGGGCCCCTCCCCTCCCTAAATAAACCCCTCAATGTATAGACAACCGATCGCTGTCCATGGTTCTGAAATTGCGACGTCTACGCGGCTGACTATCGATAGGCTATCAGATTATGTGGTGCTAGTGCTTGCAGTAGCCTATAGCTTTGCTTTAATGGGTACATGTTTATTTTTATTTGGTCGCCATTTTCTCACGTTAAACCTTACGTTTATGTTTCACGAAGCTATAGACCTACGGTGTCGCAATGATGCCATTTAGAATGCTTGCTGAAGGCAATAATGTAATTCAAGTGGGAAGTTCAAAGATTGCAGATTATAAAATGAATTTCCGATGTAACAGCATACTAATGTTTTTAGAATATACAATTGTCTTGTAGGCCTTTCTGGGAGGGGAGAGGAGGAGGAGGGCCGGCACTCTCACTAGAGGAACTGACACTATTCTGGAGGGGAGGAGAAGGATGGACTCTCACTAGAGGAACTGACACTATTCTGGAGGGGAGGAGGAAGAGGAGGAGCAAGGCCACTGTCATTGCCGGGTCTGGGCAGTGAGGTCTCTGTTGGGACTGGGAGGCTGTTAGTTCTAGCTGCTGCATAAGTAGGTCTACTAGCTTCCACCTGCCATAGTGTTTCATCAGTCGATTCACCCACTCACTCTCCATTCGAGTCCCACCTGATTCACCCATTCACTCTCCATCAGAGTCCCACCTGATTCACCCACTCACTCTCCATCCGAGTCCCACCTGATTCACCCACTCACTCTCCATCCGAGTTCCACCTGATTCACCCACTCACTCTCCATCCGAGTTCCACCTGATTCACCCACTCACTCTCCATCCGAGTCCCACCTGATTCACCCACTCACTCTCCATCCGAGTCCTACCTGATTCACCTAGCTTTTTAAAAAATTGACAGCCAATTAGGTGAAGATGCTGAGGCGGGCTGCCGCCGGCGCCACTGAGAAATAGGCAAATTAGATGCATGACAACTACATTGACTGTCTGACTCACCTACTACCCATGTAGATTGGACAACACAAACATTTCGCCTGCTACATGTGGAAATTAAAAAGGAGGGTTACTGTCAAAATTATATATATTTTTTTTTTACACAATTTAGACATCGGCTGAGATGACAGGCCCACGAGCTTTGCGGAGGCTACGGGGGTTTCCGCTAAGCCAGTGACACACACGCACATATTCACACACACACATACTGTCCCATACCTGTGGTGTCAGGTCCCTTGTAGACTTGACGGCAGCTTGGATCCCCTCCACAGTGCTCTTGTTAGCTGTTCCTACAGCGGCAGCCTTTTCTGCCGTGGCACCCAGCTTGTTGGCATGGTTCTCAAAGTTGGCCGCCCTCTCGTCAAACACCTAACATAACAGTGACAAATCATAGAATGATGAGAAATATTATTAAATATTAATCTTACATGATTACTAAAGGTAAAAGTTCCCTCGGGAAATGTAGTCTAAGTATTATTGAGTGGCAAGTACATAAATGATTGGAAAATAATCAATGAATCATCCATATGTTGCACTGATAGTTTCTTTGTTTAGTGTATGATGATATGAATCTGCCAAATAAGTCGCCCTATTGCAGAGCCATATTATAGGCATATACAGTACATTTACATTTCACATTTTAGTCATTTAGCAGATGCTCTTATACAGAGTGACTTACAGGAGCAATTAGGGTTAAGTGCCTTGCTCAAGGGCACATCGACTGATTTTTCACATAGTCGGCTCGGGATTAGAACCAGCGACCTTTCGATTACTGGCCCAACACTCTTAACAGCTAGTCTACCTGCTGCCATACACACCTCTAGCCATATTGGCATGTACTTTAGAGCTCTATATACTGCTCAGTTCATAGGTAGAGTGATTGAATGAGCCATGATGAAGTTAGGGAGACAGACAGAGAGAGAGACAGAGGGAGAGGGAATGAGAGAAGAAGGGAAGGAGAGAAAGAGAAAATCCCCCACCTGGTCCCTGTTCGGGGCATCGGGCGGGGCGGTGGAGGCTACAGCCAGTAGTTTGATGGGAGTGGTCGTATCGCTGAAGATGTCCGACACCTCGTGAGTCATAGCTTCCTGCATCTTTTCTTTGAGGTCCTGAGAAGACAAGACCACACACACACACGAGTTAGTAAGCATTAGACCAGCTTTAGAAGTATTACATGTTAACAATAGGCTCTTTTGTCAAGTGGTTTACATTGCAGCTATGATCTATGGATAGTCCGGATTTCTATCTGTAGATGCTCTAACGATGGTCATACAATCAACAAACTATCTGTTGATAAGCAACTGCTTGCTAAGGCTGCGGTTAGGGTTAGGTTTACAATAAGGGTAAGGGTTAAGGTTAGGATAAGGGTTAAGTTTAGGGTTAAAGCTAGGGTTAGTTTATGGTTAGTTGAAATGAGAACCATAGTCATCGTGGCTCTGTCTTTGACTGCAGCTGGTGTGTCCCACCAGGAGGGGGAGCACTTCACCATGCCTGTGTCAGAGTGAGCTCCAGTCAGTCTGGATGACTTGTGTGAATAATGACTTGTGTGGATAATGACTTGTGTGGCTAATGACGTGTGTGGCTAATGACGTGTGTGGCTAATGACGTGTGTGGCTAATGACTTGTGTGGCTAATGACGTGTGTGGCTAATGACGTGTGTGGCTAATGACGTGTGTGGCTAATGACGTGTGTGGCTAATGACGTGTGTGGCTAATGACGTGTGTGGCTAATGACGTGTGTGGCTAATGACGTGTGTGGCTAATGACGTGTGTGGCTAATGACGTGTGTGGCTAATGACGTGTGTGGCTAATGACGTGTGTGGCTAATGACTTGTGAGAGTGAATGTGAGCCGTCTCACCTTCAGGGTCTCCTGGAGCTGTTGAGCCACGGCACGCGCCTGTGGCGACTCCCCCTCGCCCCTGGCGGCCAGGTTGGCTAGCTGGGCCATCAGCTGTTCTACCTGCTCACACTTCCTCACCAGCTCCTGTCTATAGGGACCTGGCAGGGCGTTAGCCAGACGATGGCCCTCCGCCACCAGACCCCGGATAGCTGCCTGGCCTGGGGAGAGACAAAGATGGAGTCAGACACAGAAGCACACAGCAGACCACAGCAGTCTAGGCAGCTTTATATCGATTCGGGCCAGAGGGTAAAGTTAAGAGTAGGACCACCCATTCTTCCTTTATATATATTCAATATATTGTTGTACATTATTATGTATAGCTGTGGTTATGCTTACTCTGAACATTCTCTAGTAGACTGTGTCATACAGTCCAGAGCAATAAACAATGCATGACATGTGAGAGTGTATCCAGGCTTCTGAGCTGACAAGCCAAAGAGAACATTATGAGGTTAGGTGTGAGTAGTGGAATGTAGTGCACAGAGAAAAACAACATATCAAACAAGTTCACAAAGAAAGAGGCGGAAGGAGGGAGGGCTAAGAGGGGGAGAGAGAGAGGGAGCCAGAAAGAGACAGAGAGAGGAGAAATCAAGAGGCAGGGAGGGGTAAAGAGAAAGAGAGAGAGAAAGAAAGAGGGACGGAATGAAGGGGGAGAGAGAGAGAGAGAGAGAGAGAGAGAGAGAGAGAGAGAGAGAGAGAGAGAGAGAGAGAGAGAGAGAGGAGAGAGAGAGACCAGGCTATTCAGACTCACCCACTCCACCGTCATCAATGGTAGGGTTCTCCATCCAGCTCTGGGCCTGTTCTATCTTCCCCTCCAGGTGGACTGCTGCCTTTGCAGGCCTGCTGTTGGCTACAGCCTTGTTGGTCTTAGACTGCAGGTTCTGTAGAGCCGTGGCTATCTGCTTGGCCAATGCCCTGGCCTCCGGAGTGTCTCCTTTACCCCTGTAAATGGGAGAGAATAATGTACTGGAAAGCACCTTTCTCATAGTCTCTCTAAAGCATGATATACAGTGAGGGAAAAAAGTATTTGATCCCCTGCTGATTTTGTACGTTTGCCCACTGACAAAGAAATGATCAGTCTATAATTTTAATGGTAGGTTTATCTGAACAGTGAGAGACAAAATAACAACAAAAAAATCCAGAAAAATGCATGTCAAAAATGTTATAAATTGATTTGCATTTTAATGAGGGAAATAAGTATTTGACCCCTCTGCAAAACATGACTTAGTACTTGGTGGCAAAACCCTTGTTGGCAATCACAGAGGTCAGACGTTTCTTGTAGTTGGCCACCAGGTTTGCAAACATCTCAGAAGGGATTTTGTCCCACTCCTCTTTGCAGATCTTCTCCAAGTCATTAAGGTTTAGAGGCTGACGTTTGGCAACTCAAACCTTCAGCTCCCTCCACAGATTTTCTATGGGATTAAGGTCTGGAGATTGGCTAGGCCACTCCAGGACCTTAATGTGCTTCTTCTTGAGCCACTCCTTTGTTGCCTTGGCCGTGTGTTTTGGGTCATTGTCATGCTGGAATACCCATCCACGACCCATTTTCAATGCCCTGGCTGAGGGAAGGAGGTTCTCACCCAAGATTTGACGGTACATGGCCCCGTCCATCGTCCCTTTGATGCGGTGAAGTTGTCCTGTCCCCTTAGCAGAAAAACAACCACAAAGCATAATGTTTCCACCTCCATGTTTGACGGTGGGGATGGTGTTCTTGGGGTCATAGGCAGCATTCCTCCTCCTCCAAACACGGCGAGTTGAGTTGATGCCAAAGAGCTCGATTTTGGTCTCATCTGACCACAACACTTTCACCCAGTTCTCCTCTGAATCATTCAGATGTTCATTGGCAAACTTCAGACGGGCATGTATATGTGCTTTCTTGAGCAGGGGGAACTTGCGGGCGCTGCAGGATTTCAGTCCTTCACAGCATAGTGTGTTACCAATTGTTTTCTTGGTGACTATGGTCCCAGCTGCCTTGAGATCATTGACAAGATCCTCCCGTGTAGTTCTGGGCTGATTCCTCACCGTTCTCATGATCATTGCAACTCCACGAGGTGAGATCTTGCATGGAGCCCCAGGCCGAGGGAGATTAACAGTTCTTTTGTGTTTCTTCCATTTGCGAATAATCGCACCAACTGTTGTCACCTTCTCACCAAGCTGCTTGGCGGTGGTCTTGTAGCCCATTCCAGCCTTGTGTAGGTCTACAATCTTGTCCCTGACATCCTCGGAGAGCTCTTTGGTCTTGGCCATGGTGGAGAGTTTGGAATATGATTGATTGATTGCTTCTGTGGACAGGTGTATTTTATACAGGTAACAAACTGAGATTAGGAGCACTCCCTTTAAGAGTGTGCTCCTAATCTCAGCTCGTTACCTGTATAAAATACACCTGGGAGCCAGAAATCTTTCTGATTGAGAGGGGGTCAAATACTTATTTCCCTCATTAAAATGCAAATCAATTTATAACATTTTTGACATGCGTTTTTCTGGATTTTTTTGTTGTTATTCTGTCTCTCACTGTTCAAATAAACCTACCATTAAAGTTTTAGACTGATCATTTCTTTGTCAGTGGGCAAACGTACAAAATCAGCAGGGGATCAAATACTTTTTTCCCCTCACTGTAGTCATTTTAGGGAAAGTTAAATCAAAATGAAATGACGTTGTTTACGATTTGTGGACTACTGGCCAGCAAGAAAACAAAATGTGATTCAACCTCTAAAGAATTACATCGCCAAGGGATACATGTATAGTGAGAACAATAATTGCCCAAGAACCGAAACCTGTGGAACTCAATATTTAACCTTGGGAGTGTTTTGAACTTTCTTCATCGAAGTCTTCTTTATTCTTCAAGGAATGCAACCAACAACTATTTCCATAGCATCTCCAATGTGCTACTTACTGTCTCCGGAGCTCAGAGAGCTTGGCGGTGAGAGCAGCCATCTCTCCGATGGACCTCAGGATGTCATCTCTCTCCTTGGGGTCTTCACACATGTCAGCGATCTTCTTGGCCTCAGCCAGGAGGGCTCGGATGTTCTCCTCTCCCTCAGGACCACCGTTGGGGTCTGCCAGCCAGTTCTGCAGGGGCACATGGTTAGTGGTCAACATAACACAATAGGCCCAACACCATGGAACACAAATTACTGTTGTTTAATGCTTTTGTGTGTTATCCTCTGGGATTTGTATTTTCTTTTACTTTTACCCTATCAATCAATCAATTAGCCAATCAATCAGAGATCCTACCTGAGCAGCGTCGATCTTCTTGGCGATGACCTGTTTGGAGTTGGTCATGGCCTCCAATTTCCGGGCTGCATTCTCCACCTTTCCCGTGAGAACGTCCAGGCCCTGGGAGACCTGCTGGGCCTTCTGCATGGCTGCAGGAGATGCCCCCTGACCCCTGGAGAGAATGACAACCCAGAACATCAGTTGGTTGTAAAATTCCAGAAACGTTCACAAAGTTCACAGGTTTTTCAGGAATCCCAGCATGGTTGGAATCCCTGCTTATTCCCTACTGATTCCAGGAATAACTGGGTTAATGTGTGGAAAGCAGGTTGGCATTTATCGTCATGAATCTGGACCTGGAGGCAGCTATGCAGAGTGGTCACTAGCTAGCACAGCCACAAAATGATTAAATCCAGATAGGTGCAGTGAAATGTGTTGTTTTACTGTCCTTAACCACACTGCTAACCCTAATCTTAACCACACTGCTAACCCTAATGACACTGCTAACCCTAATGCCTAACCACACTACTAACCCTAATCACACTGCTAACCCTAATGCCTAACCTTAAATTAAGACCAAAAAGCACATTTTAGTTTTTCATTAATCTTTACAATATAGCACATTTTGACTTTGCAGCTGGCCCATCCAGTGGAAATCGCTCAGTTCTGCCTCCAGGGCAAGATTCATGACAATAAACGTCAACCTGCATGTGGAAAAGGAAATCTTGTGCATAGTGTTAGTCATTCTGATGGAAAGACATAGAAAATGCTACAAAACTGACTGAGGGAATATTTCATTGACTAACATGTCCTGTACCTCTTGCCCTCCTTCTGTTTAACGTCCTGTATGTAAATGTTGTTCACTGTCTCATATGGGATGAAATAATTGAACAATAATATATATTTTTTCGATCTTAGTGTCTCCATTTCCAGACTCAGAGCAGAGAGGCCTTTCCAGTTGACAGCAGACAGTAACTCATCCAGGCCGGGGGTTTAACTAGATCATGCATTAAGTGCGGAAAGCTGCTTTTAATCTGGCAGCATGATTTAGTCCCCAGCCACTGTGAGATCTGATTGGATGGGTATCAGTTACAGTCTAACACACTATAATCCCCTGTAATAAACGTACCACCTTGTAGGCTACTTCCTCCCACTGATTGATCACAGTGATTGATCACAGGCTGTGTTGCAAATGGCACCCCATTCCCTATATATATTTTTTGCAGTTTTACTTTAGTGCCTTATTGCAAACAGGATGCATGTTTTGGAATATTTTATTCTGTACAGGCTTCCTTCTTTTCGCTCTGTCATTTAGGTTAGTATTGTGGAGTGATTACAAATGTTGTTGATCCATCCTCAGTTTCTCCTATCACAGCCATTCAACTTTAAAGTCACCATTGGCTTCATGGTGAAATCCCTGAGCGCTTTCCTTCCTCTCCGGCAACTGAGTTAGGAAGGCCGCTTGTAGCTTTGTAGTGACTGGGTGTATTAGCGCGCACCGCTAACTAGCTAGCCATTTCACACTGGTTACACTCACCCCCCTTTGACCTCCTCCTTCTCTGCAGCAACCAGTGATGTGGGTCACGGCACCAATATAACAGTGTTGCTTCCGTCCCTCTCCTCGCCCCAACCTGGGCTCGAACCAGGGACCCTCTGAACACATCAATAACTGCCTCCTACGAAGCATCGTTACCTATCGCTCCACAAAAGCCACAGCCCTTGGAGAGCAAGGAAACCAACTACTTCAAGGTCTCAGAGCCAGTGACATCACCGATTGAAACGCTACTAGCACGCACTGCTAACTAGCTAGCCATTTCACACCAGTTACATTAGCTTGAGAAATGTTTACAAAAACAATTAATATACACTACCAGTCAAAAGTTTGGACACACCTACTCATTCAAGAGTTTCTTTATTTTTACTATTTTCTACATTGTAGAATAATAGTGAAGACATCAAAACTATGAAATAACACATATGGAATCATGTAGTAAACAAACAAAAAAGTTAAACAAGTCAAATTATGTTTTATATTTGAGATTCTTCAAATAGCCACCCTTTGCCTTGATGACAGCTTTGCACACTCTTGGCATTCTCTCAACTAGCTTCATGAGGTAGTCACCTGAAATGCATTTCAATTAACAGGTGTGCCTTCTTAAAAGTTAATTTGTGGAATTTCTTTCCTTCTTAATGCGAGCCAATCAGTTGTGTTGTGACAAGTTAGGGGGGGTATACAGAAGATAGCCCTATTTGGTAAAAGACCAAGTCCATATTATGGCAAGAACAGCTCAAATAATCAAAGATAAACACAGTCCATCATTACTTTAAGACATGAAAGTCAGTCAATACGGAACATTTCAATTACTTTGAAAGTTTCTTCAAGTGCAGTCACAAAAACCATCAAGCGCTATGATGAAACTGGCTCTCATGAGGACTGCCACAGGAATGGAAGAGTTACCTCTGCTGCAGAGGATACATTTATTAGAGTTACCAGCCTCAGAAATTGCAGCCCAAATAAATGCTTCACAGAGTTTAAGTCACAGACACATCTTAACATCAACTGTGTGAATCAGGCCTTCACGGTCGAATTGCTGCAAAGAAACCACTACTAAAGGACACCAATAAGAAGAAGAGACCTGCTTGGGCCAAGAAACACGAGCAAAGGACATTAGACCGGTGGAAATGTGTCCTTTGGTCTGGAGTCCAAATTGGAGATTTTTGGTTCCAACCGCTGTGTCTTTGTGAGACGCTGTGTGGGTGAATGGATGATCTCTGCATGTGTAGTTCCCATCGTAAAGCATGTTCCCATACGTAAAAATGTATGCACACATGACTGTAAGCCGGTTTGGATAAAAGCATCTGCTAAATGGCATATAATATTATTGTATATGTACTGTACCTGGCCCTCATCTCAGACACCTGGTCAGTGATCTGGCCCAGGGTTTTGGCTGTGCCCAGGATATCCCTCCGCTCCTTCCCAGCACACAGCTCTCCCACCTTCCCAGCCTCATCCAGGATCTGACGGATGGCCTGTTCTCCTGCATCCCCTGATCACCAGGAGACAGAGACCACAGTAAGACAAATGTTAGTTACAACCTAGAGAAAAAGGACAACTGCATTGTTCAATTGGCACCAATCAGAAGAAAACGGACTGATACAGGGAGGAACTACTTGGACTCCAATAAAACCGATTGTTTAGTTTTTAATTGAAAAACATTTTGTTACAGTGCGCCCAAATGCAGGGGTTTTCAAACCTCTCATCTGGGACCCCCAGCCATTCCATGTATATGAACTATTCCAGAACAAGCACACCTAATTCCACTTGTCAACTAATCATCAAGCCCTTGACTATATGAATCAGGTGAGCTAGTTCAGGGCTACAACAAAATAGTGAAATGTCTGGGGGTCCCCGAGGAGAGGTTTGAAAACCACTGCCCTAATGAACATGGCCCTGGTATATTAAGCCACTGGGAAGACCCGTCTCTGTTACCTTGTTGGGCGTTGGGATCTCTCAGCCAGCTCTTGGCCTGGGTCATCTTAGAGTCGATGAGCGCCAGAGCTCTCTTCATGGCCTCTGTATCCTTTAGGGTCAACAACAGGGTTAAAGGAGACAACATGGATGAATAATAAATAACCTTCCAGTCTAGAACCTCCCCCAAAATACATATTTGAAAAAGATTGATTGATTGACTACAATTAAGACTTTGTATTACAGCATTTTGAGACCTTGGGACTATAAGGTTCTATCTGCGCAAAGCATAGTTCTGAGATATTGAGCATCAAAGTTCTCGTATCCCAGATCTCAGAACTGTCTTGTTGTGAATTCTTCTTTCATAAACCATTAAGGCACTCAGTTTAAAAGGTACCTAAAGAGTATCAAAATCCTAACACATTTATAAATCAGTTATTTTAGGGGAGTGCAATCGCAGATAGAACCTTATGGCTCTGAAATGTAAATCTTGGTTCAGCCATAAGATTCTATCTAGCACAGAATGTTACAATTATTTTAATTTCAATAGAAAAGTACAGACATTTAAATGATTAAATAAATAGAATACCCTTCCTTGTTTCTTATGTTCATAACACATTTGTTAAAGCGATAGTTCCCTCAAATGACAAATACACTATATTCTATGGAGAACTAGCAAGATTGCTAAAGCTTAGCAAGCACTCGATGAGTAAACTGATATAATTTTCTGGTCTCTGACACCCAAAGTCAGTAAACTACTTGGTATGAATCAATAAAATCAAATAAAATGTTAGCAAAATACCCTTTCCATGGAGGTTTTCGTAATTATATAGAACAAGACGAAAACAGCAATGCCTCTCCTAAGGGCCTAAAACATGCTCTAAGGCAGGGTTTCCTAAACTCAGTCCCAGATCTCAGAACTGTTTTGTGAGGTCTTCCTCTTTCATGACTCAATAAGTACACTACCGTTCAAATGTTTGGGGTCACTTAGAAATGTCCTTGTTTTCGAAAAGAAAAGCAATTTTTTTTGTCCATTAAAATGACAAAATTGCTTTTCTTTTGAAAACAAGGACATTTCTAAGTGACCCCAAACTTTTGAATGGTATTTTACATTTGACCTTTTTTACCTTTTTAAAATGTTTAGTCATTTAGCAGACGCTCTTATCCAGAGCAACTTACAGTTAGTGAGTGCATACATTTTTCATACTGAACACTGAGGGTGCATCTCAAAAGGTGGCCTCCTCTCTTTGATCTGCACTGATGTGAAAACATACAAATGGAATGGTAGTGTATATTTTTACATTTACATTTTAGTCATTTAGCAGACGCTCTTATCCAGAGCGACTTACAGTTCGTGAATACATATTTTTTTATACTGGCCCCCCGTGGGAATCGAACCCACAACCCTGGCGTTGCAAACGCCATGCTCTATCAACTGAGCTACATCCCTGCCGGCCATTCCCTCCCCTACCCTGGACGACGCTGGGCCAATTGTGCGCCGCCCATGAGTCTCCCGGTCGCGGCCGGCTGCGACAGAGCCTGGATTCGAACCAGGATCTCTAGTGGCACAGTTAGCACTGCTATGCAGTGCCTTAGACCACTGCGCCACTCATGAGTCTGATCACCTTACATACAATTATTTTTTATTAACAACCCAGCATTATGTGATTGGATTGCAGATAGAACCAAGTTAAAAGGTGTTTGCGCAGATAGAACTTTCAGATTTGTCCTTTTTATCATTGTAAATTGACAAAAAATGCAAATGACCATCTAAAGAGCAACTCTATGTGAATAACACATTTTTGACCAAAATGTCAGACTGAAACTTTTAGTTCCAAGGTCACGATTTGGCATACACAAGGATTTGTTCAAATAATTCTGTGCAATGTCTAAAATTAGGTAATGTCCCTAATGATCATTCCTTTTTAGGGTAACCCTTCTGTAATTTACTGTATGTCTTCTGAGTCAGCTAATGGTCTATCTGTCAATGAGCCAGATATTCCAGCATGTGTTTGGAGTTTGAACAGGGTTGGAATAGTGATCTCATACAGTAAGAGTATTTGCCTGCTTGGGGAATTCATTAATGTGATGATGACTGATGAAAATGAGCACAGCATTCACACAGATGAACACACGGATTATGACGTTACATAGTTACATAGGGAAAATACATGTAATCTCCATGATTACCACCATTACAGCACACAACAAACCTGCAAAAAGCTGTCACACACATATGTACCTCAAATGCAAGGCTAACCTCTGGCAGCAAGACACAACCGTAAAAGTGCACATGCTGTTCAAATCAAATCACTTTCCATTATTTTGTTGAGTCCCAAATGGCACCCTATTCCCTACATAGGCACTACTGACCAGAGGCCTATAGAGTGGTGAGGAGGAGCTCCTTGGACCCTTCCGCCCTGAAGTCATTTAGCCATTCATTGTAGCCATTGGCACTCTGTAGAGTTTTCTTGTGTCAATTAATTTGTGACATTCCCGGATTACTCATTATACTAACAAAGTCTGATTAAGTCAACAAATACGATAGCCAGTTTAAAAAAAGGTTAAGGGTACAAGACTGTGTACATATCTGGCTGTGTTGGCAAAATCACTACATATCTCATGGAGCCAAGCGGGGAGAGGCTGCCCGTTATCACAGTTCCAAGACCAGTCAGAAACGTCCAGCTAACCCTACGCCAATGACGGTGGATCTCAAAACTGAACTTGGATCCGCATTAGGTAGCAATGATATCCTTCGCCACCATTGTCTTACGACACGACAGATAGCTCGAACCAGTTATGACTATTCAACAGAACAATAAATAATTTTCTTAAGTTTCTTTCCAGCTAAGTTCTTAGTTACATGATTGTATAACTAAGTTTTGAAGTTGATTATCTGACACTTTATCTGACACAGAAGAGGGTCTGATCTCATTATTACTGAAACAGGATACAAGTGGAAAATATAAAGATCCAGTCCATTTACAAAATTGGAGGCCCCTTACACTTCAGTGTTGTGATGCAAAAATCCTAGCAAAATGTATAGCGCATAGAATTAAAAAGGTATTGTCGGATATTATTCATTCTAATCAGACAGGTTTTTTACATGGAAGATACATTGGAGATAATATAAGGCAAGTATTGGAAACAATAGAACACTATGGAAAATATGGGAAACCAGGCCTGCTATTCATAGCAGACTTCGAAAAGGCATTTGATAAAGTTCGACTGGAATTTATATATAAATGCCTGGAGCATTTCAATTTTGGAGAATCTCTTATAAAATGGGTCAAAATCATGTATAGTAACCCTAGGTGTAAAATAGTAAATAATGGCTATTTCTCAGAAAGTTTTAAACTATCAAGAGGAGTGAAACAAGGTTGTCCACTATCGGCATATCTATTTATTGTGGCCATCGAGATGTTAGCTATTAAAATCAGATCCAATAATAATATTAGGGGATTAGAAATACAGGGCTTAAAAACAAAGGTGTCATTGTACGCAGATGATTCATGTTTTCTTTTAGATCCACAACTAGAATCCCTCCACAGCCTCATAGAGGATCTAGATACATTTTCTAACCTCTCTGGATTAAAACCAAATTATGACAAATGTACTATATTACGTATTGGATCACTAAAAAATACAATTTTTACATTACCATGTAGTTTACCAATAAAATGGTCTGATGGTGATGTGGATATACTCGGAATACATATCCCAAAGGAAATAAATGATCTCACTTCAATAAATTTTAATAGAAAGTTAGCAAAAATAGATAAGATCTTACTACCATGGAAAGGAAAATACCTGTCAATTTGTGGAAAAATCACCCTGATTAACTCTTTAGTATTATCCCAGTTTACCTATTTGCTTATGGTCTTGCCTACGCCTAGTAAACCGTTTTTTAAATTATATGAGAAAAAAATATTCAATTTTATTTGGAATGGCAAGCCAGACAAAATTAAAAGAGCATATTTATATAATGAATATGAATTCGGAGGACAGAAATTATTAAATATTAAAGCATTAGACCTATCACTAAAAGCTTCAGTCATACAAAAGTTATACTTAAATCCGAACTGGTTCTCAAGCAAATTAGTAAGATTGTCTCACCCACTGTTCAAGAAAGGCCTTTTTCCCTTTATTCAGATTACAACCTCTCACTTTCAGTTATTTGAAAAGGAAATAATCTCCCAAATGTCACTATTTCTAAAACAAGCCATAGAAAGTTGGTTGCAATTTCAATTTAATCCTCCAGAAACGACAGAACAAATAATGCAACAAATATTGTGGTTAAATTCAAATATACTAATTGACAAAAAACCTTTATTTTTTGACAGAATGTTTAAAAAAGGTATAATCTTCGTAAATGATATCATCGGTAGGACTGGTGGAGTTATGTCGCACATGCAGCTAACAAAAACATATGGAAATGTCTGCTCTACCCAAAATTACAACCAAATAATTGCAGCCTTACCGCAAAAGTGGAAGAGGAAAGTTGAAGGGGGAGAAAGTAAGGAACTTGTCTGTCGGCCTTGCATTAAAGAACATAATTGGTTAAGGAAAACTGTGATAAATAAAAAAGTATATCAGTTTCACTTAAGGACCAAAGGATTGACAGCCGTCCCATATAGATTGCAAAATAGTTGGGAAGAGATCTTTGACGTACCGATCCCATGGCATAGTGTTTATGAACTGACACGCAAAACGACACCGGATTCAAAAATTTGAATCTTTCAATTTAAATTATTATATAAAATTCTTGCTACCAATAGAATGTTATTTATATGGGGGATACAATCTTCCCAGCTCTGCAGATTTTGCTGTGAAGAGATAGAATCATTAGATCATTTGTTTTGGTTCTGTCCATTTGTAGCTTGTTTTTGGACACAGGTCCAGGAATGGCTAAAGGATTGCAATATTTACCTGGAACTAACCTTGCAGATAGCATTACTGGGTGATCTGAAAAGTCATAGTCAATCAATCAATAATATAATAATACTTTTAGCAAAAATGTTTATTTTTAATTCACAATCTGTAGAAGCAATGAGAATAGAAAGGTTCAGAACTTTTGTAAAACATCACAGTATGGTTGAA